ATGGATGGATGGATGGATGGATGGATGGATGGATGGATGGATGGATGGATAGATGGATGGATGGATGAATGGATGGATGGATGGATCGATTACCATCTGATTTCTATTATTTATTAACGGGGTCCTGTTTTACGAAAAACAAATATTTTTTCCTTTCGTTCAAGTCATTGTCATTCAATATGTCTGACGGCAGCTGATGTGTATATTCGTGATTGCTATGTACGCCTTACGTTGCAATACTATACGATTCACGTGCCGTTCACATAATAGGCGCCGGCGGCTTTAAAATAATATAAACATAATCGTGGTGATTTCCATATATAGCTGTTGCGATCCCCCCACACCCCCCACATCAACATTACATCGCGGAGAAATTAAATCCGACCAGGAAAACGCGAACGATGATTTGATTTCGGATAAAGATTCCATCCGCTGCAACAGTAACCATCCTAATAATCCGATATCATTTATTAAAACTTAAACACCGGTAACTAATTTGATAGCGTATATACTCACAAGAGAACAAACCAATCTCCGGTGGTGGCGCCACTTGCCGCCTGTGTCACTCTCTCGAAGTTATCGTCTGTGAGCACCTTGACGTAGCTGTTCTTGTGGTGGATCAGCCAATCAAAAACTTCGCGGTCATCGAATTTGCCTAGTTATGCAGAATATGAATATTGATCAATGCTTTCATATCGGAGCCATGCGCACACACTAATCTATTCACTGGCGGCTGAACTAATGCTCAATACACACATTGTGGACGCTGAGACGGTATCCATGTTTACGTGCTATAACGTTCGCATACGTGAGGCAAGAGCTAGCGACTGACAGTACTAACTGGCAGACGCGTTTACCGGGTTATAGTCGTGGTTTCAAGCATAGCCGCCACGCACACAGACGTACGCCTGTCAGACATACAACTATGCATACACAGTTTATCATCCGGTGCCACTGCGACTCCAATATCGCTCGCTAGGTTAGTGCCTATACATATACATATATATATATATATATAATATATATATATATATATAATATATATATATATATATATATATATATATATATATATATATATATATATATATATATATTTTAGAACAAGATGGTCGTTAAACGTTTTGCGAAAAAAAGTAAAAACGTCTCGTGAAAAATGGCAAGTGAATATAAATGAGAAAAGCATTTTTCGTGCACAACAACACATCTATCTATACGTGTGACGTATAGGACATAGACAATGAATTCGAATAAAAAGTACACTCGTAAAATTTGTCGTAAAAACTTCATGAAAAATAAAAACGCGGAAAAGCTGTTGCAGCCAAAATCGGCATAGATTCGTGTTCCTGATGCGAGTTCTAATGCTCTCTGAACCATAAGCAATTAATATTCAATAACTAGAATAATTATCATTAAATTAGATACTGAATCGTAGACGACTCGGCAACGTTTACACATGGTAGCATCGCAAAAATTCTACTAGATGCAAAAATTACCTGGAGCTTACCAGGTGGCGCTTGCGGTTGTAACACTAGGCCATCACTGGGTTATTGGATTGGATAATTAATCTGGCTTCTATCTGGCAGCTCATATCATGAGCATAGTTAGTACCAGTTAAAAAAAATATTATACTCATCAGACTATTGTGTCATCCTTGAAACAGCATAACGATCTATTGCCGTCATGATCGCTATTAACTCGCGAACATTTTCATGATTCCTCAATCTGCGCATGCTCTGCACTCGCGCCATATTCCGCTACCATTACCGTGATCAAATCCTGTAGGATGTCATATCGGAGGATTTAATACACGGGAAGAATTACAGCAGACATTGCAGCGCTTACAGTTGACGCACGACATATCAATATTTCAGGTGCGCCTGAGTGGCGACGCGCTATCATACCTGCCGATCGGGCGGGGCACGCGTTCCGGCTTTACTGTCCTGTACCATTTGCCGGCAAAGGCAAGCAGACTAGAGCTGTCAAACTCGTTACGGTTGTACAGGAACATCTTGCCCTGGCGGAAGCTGAAAGACGGAAGGTCAACGTCAACATCTATTACTTCTATGATTATGAATTCATATTTTATTTATCATATTTTTCATTTTTCATATTTTATTTATCTTGAGTTGCATCCAAGAAATTAACTTAGATTTGTTCGTATTCGTTGGATTTAACACAAGATAAATATGAATTCATAGTTTTCAACGAATTTTTTTTAGCTCAGCATCCATTGCAACTCGGAACTTAAATAAAATGAGCGCGCATTTTGGTTCGAACGCAAGGGTTGCGGTTCGTGTGTATGAAGATTAATCATGATCTATGTTGACATCTAAATAATTATCGTTCGTGATTATTGACGTTCGTAAGTTGAAAATTCTTAATTTGGACGGAAAGAAATATGTAAAGATCGAATTCTCTCCACCCAACATGGCCGCTGCGCTAGGGTATGTCCTGCTTGAGAACGTTGGCGAGGTACATGTAGGCCGGAGGTAATAATTATAAACTGTCATTATTAACCGCTGATATAGGTAGATAGACATAGGCTGATGCTTACAAACCGATCTTTGGCACTTGTTTCACGCCAAACCTCTCATCGAGCTCAGGGTTGATCTCAGTGTCAACCTTGCCAATGCTCATCTTATGATCGAGACGGGCTCCGACCGACTCCCAGCTAGGCATCACCTTCTGACACAACTTGTCGCTACCTTCGTAGCTGTGAACAAGGAAACATGTGTCAGCAACAAACGTTTGAATGACGGACGGGCGGACGTATTGGATTGAAACAGATAGATAGAGAGAAGGACGGCAGGGACAAACGGCAGGCATGACTTGGGACAAAGATATTGGAAAGGCCTAATAAAAAACTCAAATAATATAATGCCATAATTCCATCCCTTCTGGCTCCCTGCTCATTCGCCATTCATGTCTGCAGTTCTGCTGTTCGTATTAGTACAAAACGTTAACATTTTACAGATGGACTCTTCATAGCGGATATCTTTAAATGAACTTACAGATATCTCAGACGACAGCGGATCCAGGTACATTTCTTCTCTGAAATACCGAAGGTCTCTATATGTATAAACGCACACAGCGTCGACACGATGATGTGCAGGTAGCGAGATGCCGTTGTAAAGCAGGGGGTAACGGGAAAATAGAAAGAAAACAACGAACAAAGAACATTAGTCAAATGTGAGCAATTATTCATTATTCAGTTAACATGCCGTAAGAGATGCCAATAAAACCTGGCGATACAGTTCATTGCAGCGCCACGAGAGAGCAGCAGTGGCGGCCACGCGGGGAAGTAGGGGGTTGGCTAGCTATCGTCATCGTCGCTGTCGTCAGCGACAGGTCAGTATCAGCGAGTGTAGACTATACAAGGCAACGATACGGAGCATCAGGGGGGCGAGGCTCAGCAGACCAGGAGACTGCAGCCTGCTGCTATATGTGTGTGTGTTGCATGAGGCATCGTCACGAGGGGGGAGCAGTGCACACCTTCATGCACGATGCTGACCAGCGGTAGGAGACCTGCAGAAGATATACACATACACACACCACGACATTATGCAAATCACTGCGACGAAACTCTGCGGACGTGTGTCCGACACGCTATTCTCTATGTGCCTGTGCGCGCGTCTGTCTCACGCAGTCACGCTCTCACTCTCGCTCTCGGGCGCGCGCGTGCTGTGTTCTGTTGCCATGGCTACGCGTGCGCATGTATGCGCCGCCCGCCCGCATGCAACACTAAATTTCCGTTTCCGCTTGCAAGCGCAAAAAAAAGGAAAATGTCGGAAAAAGACATGTGCCACGATGATGTGCGTTTGAGCTCGTATCGGACATAGATAGAGAGTATAGAGCTGTGATAGCAACAAGGACAACTAATAGTAGAACGAAAGACCCTGTGCGCAGGAAAGAGCTGTCACGTGAACACGCGACAACGGCGCCAGCCAATCACGTCGACGGATTGAGCGGCGGCTGCCGGCAAGGTGGCTTTCGTTTTGCCGCATGCAGAAACACGCAGAAGAAACTTGTTGACTGAACGTTGTCGGAGGGACAGCATCGAGTCAATGACGTCACACGTGTGACACTCTCATACGTCCGCCCCGCCCCCGCCCCGGTGCGACGTGTGTTATTCACAAAACAGATCGCCTAACGAACGAGTGATGCCATGGCTGGTATCACAGCGTCACCAAAAGCTGTGTTATCTACTCGACACGCACGCAACGCTAACGATGCTCACGCTACGTTATAATGCAATCGTGAGTAACGACATGGTAGTATACATGGTAGTATACACACGCACGCACGCACACGTATACACACGATAGAGTGTATCACACAGCAGGCAGAGAAGAAATAACGGACCTATAAGTTGCACAGCGGTTTTCGCTATATTTTAGTTACATGTCTGTTAAACGCACACGCACATTTCACGCACACACAGCACACACAGTGATACCGTATAAGATTCCGAATGGTTTTAGTGTTTGTTAAAACAGCGTGAGAAAACGTGATAACATGATGTAATATGATAAAATGTACAACGACCGTAAGCGATGTGTATATATATATATACTATATATATATATATATAATATATATATTATATTTTAGAAACAGATGGTCAGTTAAACGTTTTGCGAAAAAAAGTAAAAACGTCTCGTGAAAAATGGCAAGTGAATATAAATAAGGAAAAGCATTTTCTGTGCACAACAACACATCTATCTATACGTGTGACGTATAGGACATAGACAATGAATTCGAATAAAAAGTACACTCGTAAAATTTGTCGTAAAAACTTCATGAAAAATAAAAACGCGGAAAAGCTGTTTGCAGCCAAAATCGGCATAGTTCGTGTTCCTGATGCGAGTTCTAATGCTCTCTGAACCATAAGCAATTATATTCAATAACTAGAATAATTATCATTAAATTAGATACTGAATCGTAGACGACTCGGCAACGTTTACACATGGTAGCATCGCAAAAATTCTACTAGATGCAAAAAATTACCTGTGAGAGTTACCAGGTGGCGCTGCGGTTGTAACACTAGGCCATCACTGGGTTATTGGATTGGATAATTAATCTGGCTTCTATTCTGGCAGCTCATATCATGAGCATAGTTAGTACCAGTTAAAAAAAATATTATACTCATCAGACTATTGTGTCATCCTTGAAACAGCATAACGATCTATTGCCGTCATGATCGCTATTAACTCGCGAATTTTCATGATTCCTCAATCTGCGCATGCTCTGCACTCGCGCCATATTCCGCTACCATTACCGTGATCAAATCCTGTAGGATGTCATATCGGGAGCGATTTAATACACGCGGAAGAATACAGCCAGACATTGCAGCGCTTACAGTTGACGCCACGACATATCAATATTTCAGGTGCGCCTGAGTGGCCGACGCGCTATCATACCTGCCGATCGGCGGGGCACGCGGTTCCGGCTTTACTGTCCTGTACCATTTGCCGGCAAAGGCAAGCAGACTAGAGCTGTCAAACTCGTTACGGTTGTACAGGAACATCTTGCCCTGGCGGAAGCTGAAAGACGAAAGGTCAACGTCAACATCTATTACTTCTATGATTATGAATTCATATTTTTTTATCATATTTTTCATTTTTCATATTTTATTTATCTTGAGTTGCATCC